TTTCCTTCTTTAATAAAATAAAATAAAAAAGGAGCCAGCCATGACCTCAGCAGGTGCAAATACACTCAGTGACAAAAAAAACAGAAGTAATGGCCTGATTTGGATGCAATTTAGTACACATATAGACCAGCAAAGGGTATGTAAATGATTTAATTTGCAAGGAGCTGGCACATCTAGTCACCAGACACAGAGGATGCCTCGTAGACGCATTAAATGGCTTTACTAGTACTTGACGGAGTTTGATAGGGGTCCCATTGTGGGTTTGCATGAGGCCGGGGGGTCGTACCGTGCAATTGGCCGGCATGTGGGGCATGCAGATGTCACAGTCGGCTGATGTTAGAATCAATGGGCATGTGAGGGCACCCACACACGCAGTGAAGGTTCCGGTCGCCTAAGACAGACCACACCAAGGATGGATCGTTGTATCATGCGGCAAGCATTACAGAACCCTATGACACCTGCACCTGCCATCCGGACACAGGTATTGGACTCTCTACATCACCCCATGCCATCCCGCACCGTGTCTCCACGACTGGCGTCAGCCGGACTAAGGGTTCACTGTCTCATGCGTAGGCTGCCTTTAACACCAGCGCAGAGACGGCTGTGTTTGGAGTGGCGCCGTAAGCGGGAGGCATGGACTGATGACGAGTGCTGTCGTACCATGTTCAGCCATGAATCTCGGTTCTGCGTTACCACGAATGACCGTCATGTGTGCGTATGGCGGCGCCAAGGGGAGAGGACCAATCCTGACAATGTTGTGGAGAGACACACTGGCGTTACTCCTGGCATTATGATGTGGGGAGCCATAGGGCATGACATCATGGTGTGGGGAGCCGTAGGGTATGACATCATGGTGTGGGGAGCCATAGGGTATGATATCATGGTGTGGGGAGCCGTAGGGTATGACATCATGGTGTGGGGAGCCATAGGGTTTGACATCATGGTGTGGGGAGCCATAGGGTATGACTTCAGGGTCCCTGACGGCACAGTGCTATGTCATTGACATCCTACGTCCTCATATCTTACCCATAGACACACATGGCACATGTGTCTATGGACTGCCTGCGTCATGTTGAGGTCCCCCTGTGGCCAGCCAGGTCCCCTGATCTTTCCTCAATCGAAAATGTGTGGGAACAGCTCAGACGTCAACTCAGACCCCGTGCCAATCTGCAGGATCTCGAGGGCCAGTTACAACAGCTGTGGTCTGACTTGCCGCAGGAGAGGATGGCTATTTGATTCCCTCCAGCGCCGTATCACCGCATGTGTCCAGCCCGGGGGGGGGGGCGGTGCCACACCCTACTGACATGGGACCAGCACTGTGCCCATACTGGCAACTCTGTTGTCCGTTTTATCTGATATTATAATCATTGCGATACAGTCACATGACCTTTCACCACATGCAGATTCATTTCATTTACACCATTTTATCACTGAGTGTAAATGGCATGAATTGTCTTTGGCAATTCATGTAACTAGTAACAGTCCTTTTATAAAATAAAATAAAAATAACAAAAATAATAAATTATTGCAGCAGCTGGAGTCACACTAACAGTGGAACATCATTGTTTTAGTATGATGGTGCCCTATGCTGTTAAAAAAATATTGCAATTTTAACCAAGGAGAGATAATAGAACACAGCTGTACTAGCGAAATAACCAAACAATATCTTGGTAGATATTATCACAGTTCCATGATGGCATCAAGACATTTTTTATTGTGATATTGTGAAATTTGATATATTGTTACATTCCTAATCAATTTAAATAGTCTATGACATGATCATTGATAGCCTCATCTTCTCCTTTCCTCTATTACATGGAGGGCCTTCCCAACACCCTCCTGTCTCAACAGAAAAGGAGGGACACTCCAAATGCAGCTTTGCAGGACTCAAAGGGTTTATTTGTTTGACTATAATGGACACTACTAAAAACAAAAGAACTTCAAGTGGTCAAACAGAAGGATCGACTAAGAGGGATCGGGTCAATCGATGCACGGGGAACAACAATGTAGTAACTAAGACATTATAACCAGATTAATATCCACAGCAACTATAATGACTGAACTAAGGAACAGGACAAGGCCGGGCACCTATACGCACAGATAATAAGTAATCAACAAAAGACAGGTGTGTGATTAACACATGAGGGCTGGAGACAACTGAACAGTGGGAAAATATGAGATGGCCAGCGACATCTGCTGGCCAAATAGGAACATGGCAGCGACAGATCCGGACACCTGCACTCAGCTGCTCTTTCAGACTGTGATCATATCAGCTGCACGCTGCCATTGCAGCCTGCCTGTGCCACAAAGTCACTTCCTGTTTTCTTGAAACCCAGCTGTACTTTGTGTGCTTTTGACCTTCCCATGTTTGAGTTCTCTTGGTCTACTGTCTCAGGCTACCAGTTAAGGGCTGTAATTAGTTATGAGCACCTCTGAACCCAAGTGGGATTCATGGTTACTAGTGTTTGCATAATGAGGGTTTTACAGTGTCCCCAGTTCAAAAGGTTCAGAATTTCATATTTTCCACATCATTTAGGGCTGCACAATCTCCCCAGTCTGTGGAATGAGGCATCCATCCTATCACAGCCAGAGTACCTTCTGTCACTGGCATTTTCTATAGCCAACCATCTGTTTTCCATAACTGTTCATCTAGTGCGGGGTCAAGGTGTGCCGCGAGCCAACACATACTTTCTTGTAAACTTCTACATATCTTTTTATATATACTATGCCAATTATCAGTTCATGAGAGTAAATCCATTTTTTATGTTTGTGTTTTATTTTACTCATTTACCATCTTTATATCCTCACTTGCAAGTGACTCTCAATAAGAGTATATGCTAAATGCATAAATGTAACAATAAAATGGAAATGTATCTGTTACACCAGCAGTAAAAGTTTGTTTGTGCATCTAACCGTCCATGTTCTATAAGCTCCTATTTCCAAGAAGCACAGGCACAAGCACACCCTCAATGAGCAGTCAGCCCATCACAGGACCACGTTTTAGTATTATTATTTTTTATTATTAATTATGCATAAAAAAGAGATGCAGTTGGGCCTATAATAATACTTATGAATCCTCTCCAGGGTCACTTGCATAGTCCCAAGGTCCTACTGGTCCTACATTTGGACTATCAGTGATCTTTGTTTGTTGTTTATTTACTTATTCATCTAGTTGTTGTTCTTACAGTGCATATTACTCCTGCTATAGATAGGTATTCAGTGATTTAATAACTCGATCTGTGCATATCGCTGATTGGTGGGCTTGGGGGCACTTTTTAGACTTTTTATACTTTCATATTTCTTAGTTTACATTTCGTGTGTCCATGTCTGAAGAATGTTCACTCAAGCCTCGTTATAAGCATTTCAGTGTATGGCTGCGTTCTTTCATCATGCACATGACAAATAAAGGACTTTGACTTGAGTTTATGCTACCTCAGTTCCTTCCTGTTGTCCTTCCCAGCCATCTAGTGCTTACACCAATCTATCGATGGAAAAAAAAATAACAGAGTTTATTTCAGGTATTTATCCCTCTGCTGCCAAAGATGTTTCTGGGGCGATGGGTGGCTCTTTCAGTCAGAACTCTGTGCCCTTGCTTGGAATGTTGCCCGTTCAGGTGCTGTGCTTGGCAGGGTGATTTCAACATTGGACCTTCAACCCCAATTGCTCCAGGGACAAGATCTGCATTTGTTTCTCAACTGTATATCACTTTGGATAAAAGGTGAAGGTAAATCTAAGTAGAATTGTGTTATGAGTATTTCACTTGCAGGAAGTATCTGTAAATAAAAAGGAATGCAATGCGTAGGGCTAACACAGAAACTCTGAGAGACCATCATAAATCCTGCAGTGGGGCAGCAGAAAACAATGCATAATATTTACAGTACATGTAACTCCTGACTGAGCTGAAGTCCAGGTTGTTGTATCTAACAAGCTTTAAATATTACATAAGCTATAGACAGTGGATTTATGTTGCATCGTGCAGAGGCATGTAATGACAATATTTGTTTTGCTAAAAAAAAAAGCTGTTAATTTAGGTATGATTAATGTTCATTTTCCACCTTCACATTTTCCCTTCCCGTTTTTGTTTAGGGCTCTTGCTGTACATACTGATTCAGATGTAAATATTGTGGACCATTAAAATACAGCCATATTGCTAAATATTTGCTTCTTAGCAAGACAGGCCTACTGTTTTTAAGGAATTAAGAACCAAATAAAATTAAATAAATAAAAAAAAACCTGAGAGAAAGATATTTGAACAAGGTGTACATTTACATCTTATACAGATTTATGCAGTAAACTGGTCTGGGGCATTGCATAATATTATAATGAAGTGAGTACAGAATAGGACAGAAGTCTGCTCCAGGTAAAAGTTGCTTTTGCAATTTCAATGTTTTGTATTAATGTTGTGGCTCTGGGGATCTTGTTTTTGCATCGGTCTCATCTAAATGACGTTTTTTCCCCTCATACTGTGATATTTCTTATACACCTTTATTAGGGCAGCAAGTACGCCTGCTGGTTAGGAAGAGCTGCTTGCTATTCCACATCAGCTTCATTAAAAAAACATAAATCAGGTCCACTAAAGACAACGTTTAGTTATTTTTACCTTGTTTTGATTAATCAGTAATAGTTTGGTGTTCGTTAATGTAAAATGTAAAGGACTGCCTTTAATACCTAAACCTGCTTATTTCCTCGTTGCTTGCTTTGCTAACTCATTGTGCAACTGTGTCAGGTGATCCGCAGCTCGTGGGCTTTAGTAAATAAGCGACAGGATGATTGTGGCATACAAAAAAAAAAAAAAACCAATAGGCTATATTCACAACTCATATGGCTTATAGAATAGTTGAAACCTTTCCCCGCGTTACCGCTGAGCTCCTATAAAAGACTGCTGTAAAAACTACAAATATGATATGATGAGATCTGTCACTTATCTGCTTAAAGCTTTTTAGATATTTTCAGTATTGACAGTTCTAAGTTCCCCCGGCTTCTCACCGGATTTGGTTTCCTCTCACATTACAGTAACCCGGGACAGATTAACCATTCGTTAACCCACATTTTGCCTGCTCCTGTTGGTTTGAATAGTCCACGTCAGCAGTCAATTAAGTCAACACCCCCTCCTTTCACCATTCACGGAAAAGCTTCTGCAAACTTTACTATCCTTTTCTTCCTGTTTCCTCCGTACTGTCTACATATCACACTTTTGTAAGGTAAGTCCGTTAAGACGGATGATATTTATTCACAGGTGAAGCTTGTCTGATTGTGCTTTCGGCTGGCGATCGCTTGTTACGAAGTTACAACCTTTTTGATTTTTTTCCCCTTTTCAGATGAGTTTGCCGTGAATGCCTGTTGCGTGTCAAAAATCTGGCAACTTCCTGAACTGAACGCCCTGTGTAGCTATGACGGCGACAGAAATACAAATATGAGAACATTCGATCGGTCAGATTTGAAAAATATGAGTGATCGGACGGGTCAGTGTACATTGAGTAAGTGAACTTCGGTAACTTGCCATCCAGGAAAATGAGATTTAAAATTCACAAGAGGAATGCGCTGATTTTCGTACTGGTTGCGCTCATTGCTCTCTGTGTAGTGATCAGGATACGTAAAAATGACAATGTCCACCAAGAAATTAATAAGGACGTCGCCTCGCCTGCAAGCGCAACGAGTAAGTTTCAATACGACACCGTTTTTAATATGAAGAAGTCCGTGTACGGAAGTAACTACAGGCAGTTCATTCATAATGCAGACAAATTCTCGGCAGATCCTCAGTTGGTCGTAGTGGTTCAGGTCCATAAGCGACCCGCCTACCTCAAATTGCTGGTGGACTCTTTGGAAAAAGTTCTGGGTGTTCACAACATACTCTTAATTTTTAGCCAGGATTATTTTTCGGAGGAAATAGCCAGTGAAATCGAAAGGATAGATTTCTGCCGAGTCTTGCAGATTTACTTTCCATACAGTACGCAGCTGTATCCTGCTGAATTTCCTGGACAGGACCCCAAAGACTGCCCGAGGGACATTTCAAAGGACAGCGCTATCAAAATGAATTGCAACAACGCAGACTATCCCGATTCTTACGGACACTACAGGGAATCCGCTTTCACGCAAGCAAAGCATCACTGGTGGTGGAAGTTGCATTTCGTGTGGGAGCGAGTGAGAGTCCTGCAGGGCTATACGGGGTATGTGCTTTTCATCGAGGAGGATAACTACCTGCTGCCAGACTTTTACCACGTCTTCGAGGGAATGGCCGCACTTAAGAAGAAGGAGTGCCCCGACTGCGACATGCTCGCGCTTGGTAACCATGACGACGCCACGCGGTTTGAGGAGTTCGCCGACAAGGTTGAGACGTCCGGCTGGCTGTCAACCAGGCACAACATCGGCATGGCCATGCCTAAGGAGATGTACTACAAGCTGATGGGCTGCAACGCGGAGTTCTGCACTTACGACGATTACAACTGGGACTGGACGCTACAGCATCTGTCGGGATCGTGCATCTCGAAGCCGCTTAAGGTGCTGGCAGCCAAGTCCTCTCGAGTTCTGCACACGGGTAACTGCGGACTGCACCATAACCAAGGCTGCCAGCCGGAGGTGGCTCGTCAGGGAGTTAAGGGGCTCTTGGATTTGTCACAAAAATTCCTGTTCCCTAGTTCTTTGATCGTGAACAGTCAGCAGCCGGTGGAGCACAAGAATCATATGATAAACGGCGGGTGGGGAGACATTCGAGATCACGTACTGTGTAAAAACTATGCAAATATTCTGTGAATATTTTCTTTCTGGTAGCTGTTGGGTAACCGTGATATCAGGGTTAAATCAGGGGTCACCACCATAAGGTTCCAGCAGTCGCAGGTAACTGGATTACCTCATGACCTTTAACCTTAAATGTTCTCAGGATTGATAAGTTTACTTTGGCCCAGTAAGGGTTGGGTCTTTACATTTTTAAAAGAATTATCATATAAATACAAAAATCAAGTCATTTTTGGAGTCGTTGCACTTTTAACAAATGTATTTAAACATTAATTTTAATATAAAAATTTGCCAAAGACAAGTCCTTTTTTTTTGCTGTCATACCAAGTACTTATACTGTGTTTTATGATACTGCATTGCACAAGAAACAGTATCTGTTAACCAAATTTGATCTCATATGGGTTCAACCTACAGCCAGTAACTTTTGTTGAGTGATGCAATAATGTAAAGCTCACTCAATTTTAGTGTAGTATGTTGCATATTGCTGGTGTTCATAGGTTAATTGCCTTCATTCATATAAAAGTGTAACATTTTTGGAGGCAATGAGGTTCTTTATTTAATAAAATGCGACACATTGTAATACATTCTGTCCAGCACTTCAAAGAGGTGAGTGCACCATGAGGAATCTTTAAATCTGTGCAATATTGAAGGTTGCAACATATGAATTGTGTAACTGCATAGTGAATGTATATAAAGACAAGCTTTAGGGAGAGATTTAATTTTTTGGAGCAAAGACCAGGTTTTTTTTCTGTATCTAGCATTCATTACAACTTTTTTTTTATGGTCTGTATAGTCTGACTATATGACTCTTATTCCTCCATGACTCTTATTCCTGTTAAGTGTACTGAATGCTAATTTGTACAGCTAGATCATTATTTCATTGCAAATTAGACTTATGTGCCTTTGGATGCCTTTAGACAGCAGAATATGTTTACTGTCGCATTGTGTCTTTTAAAGATAAGCCAAAAAATGCAAGATGACTCTATGTACAGCTGAGCGTTCAAGCCTTGTTCAGCTCTATGTAAAGAAATAATGATCATTATTAAAAAGAATCCGATGTGTGAATGATGTATAATTTGTAAGGGATGGAGAAAAACATATTTTTGTACAAAAATAGATTTAAAACCTTTGGAGGGACACTATGACATTGCCATTGTGTTTACTGACTTTTTTTAATTCATTGTATATTTTGTACATTTGATGTATGATGGTAATTTTTCTCCCTCCTCACATTGCCCATACAGTTTTCAGGTTAATCGGTGGCTTTAATCTGTCCTTCCTATCAATATTAATAGCTCTGCTATCCAAGGACTCATTGACTAAAATATGTATTGCTTTTCATATGGATACGCAGTCACTCTAAATCTATAGGTTTAACGTATCATTCATATAATGTTTGACATTAACAATGAAACTAACCAGTGAGCCAATTGTTTTATAAATAATTGCCAGTGAAATTTTTTTGCTCATATGTGCAAAATCTTTTTATTGTGGCATTGTGGGGGGAAAAAACTGAGCTTTCGGGCTTAATCACTTTCGTTGAGAACATTCTTATGATGTAAGACTGCAAACTCTGTTTTGCCATGTTTAACCTCAGTGAAAGCCCAACTGGATTCCTTAACATTTTTGATTAACTGGTTAGATCCGACACCCTCCAGAAGCATGTTAATGGATGGCCTAGTTAGTTATGGTTAAGCATTTGAGTCAATTCAGGTCTTTCCATGGCACTTGAGCAAGGAGAGTCTTTAAGTTCTCTGTAGGATGTTATTTTTGTAGTTTTGTAGAAGTAATGTGAATATTAAAAATGACAACTGATTGTTGTGTTTTTCTTTTTTATTGCAAATTGCATAACTCCAGCTAAAATCTGGAGGATGTATGACGTGCAAATAGCCATTGTTTGATTGTTACGATTTGACATTACCAGACTCAAAGTTGCATGTTAATTTAGTTTATGATTAAGATTGAAACAAGTCAACTTTACAGATGCAGAGATTACAAAGACTACTGAAGGCATTAAATAAATCTAATACTTTATCCTTTGATATAAATTTAATATTTTCAACAAGTAGGATACGCACAATATTGGTGTGAAGAGCATATCTGGACCCTAAATATAGCATGGCAAATGCTGAATGTATGCACAACCAAAAATGGGGCATTAGTAAACACAGACATCAATGAGCGTCCCACATTTATTGGGCATACCAGTCTGGGTTCAGATATAAGCCCAATTTTTTTATCTGTTATATTATATGTAATTATTTAAATTAAGGCCCGTCTGTGTTGACTACTGTTCGTATTCCGCTTTTAGGATATTGTATGATTTCATACTTCCACATGTCACAGAAACGAGACTTTAATGTAAATATAACGTTTCTACGTTTCATTTCTCCATGACTGATCTCGTGAGGGAAGTTTCTTATCACCTCACACCTTCTCATGCCACATTCTGTGTATCGCTATGATACTGACAGTTACACTGACGTTTCAGTTTCATTTCTGATTGCTTTTGTGTCGAAAAAGAATGTTTGTTTGCGTGTGTATGTAATTTTTCTTATGTAGGTTATAGAAAAGGAAACAATATTTGGAATTGTGCATCAAATGATATTGTACAATTATATGTACTTCAATAATTAAATACATTTTTAGCTTTGGAGAAACATGAACTTCAGAGAGACATCTGCAGAAGTTTGGCAGATTGATAAAGGAAGTTCTTGACTTCTTTTTAAACTCGTACTTAAACTTGTTCACCTGCTGCATTCGTCAAAGGAGATCATCAGAGGAAGATATACTGCACTTTGGACAAGTGTACTGGAGTTAGCTATTTTCTTTAGTTATTTTCTTGAATACTCACAGAAAAAGGTGAACAAAGGTGAAAAAGCTAAAACTGAGTGCTATAATATGCTGAGAAAAAAGTTCTTAGAAATCTTATTCCTACATGTTTATAATTTGAATCAATCTTATCATGGAAGTTATCAATGTTAGGATGTTGAGATTTTAATTATATACCATGTTTATATAATCTATACCTCAATAAAATCCCCTGAATGTTTACTTTAAGAAAGTTCTTGATATATACATTATAATGTTATGCTCCATTTTCTCATTAAAAAATAGTCTTTATGTTTGTGTAATTATTTTGGCATGCATCCTGCATTGTAAGGATGTCTGTAGCTGAAAAAAAGATTCTCCGTGGCTCCTGTGACCCCTAGGAGACACTGTTCGGCATCCTTGCTGCTGATGAAGCAGCTTATGTAACGTGTTCGTACTACCTGTGATGTCAGACGCAGTACGACTTCAAATACTTTGTATCAATTATATGTACTTATGTTAAACGCATATATGTTCTACATTTGTCGTGGTCTGATAATTACAGTTAATGATGAGGGACTTTTTATTGCTTAAAAATATTAATTTAAAAACTGTTATTTACAAAATAGCCATTGATTGAAACAAAATAGCTGTACAGTATCAGTAAGCTCTATTAGCTAAAACCTGCCCAGCAAGCATTGAAGCTGACCATTATAATAGGATATACCTATGTTAAAAATGTTTTTCCCATGTTTGATATATCCGACTAGAAATGAGGCCTGCAGGTTGAAACAAAATATTCAGGCTTTTTTTAAATCATTCAGAAAACCTGGACAAACAATACTGAATACTGAGAAGGTTTAGCGTTGCCAAATAAATGGATAGATGTAGCCATTGTTTAATGCTAAATCTTTGGTAGCAACTTGGGTAATACATACAGTAAACCAGGTGTCATCATTATCATCTCGGTAAAGGTGCATGGTCGATTGCTTTCATGCATATGTTACAAATCACTGAAGTTGTATCTGCGTTTTATATAAATTTGTAATGCAGTTCTTGTGTGTTTACCTTTCATTAACACTTCAGTCAGTTATATATGCCGCCAAAGGCCTAACATTATTCTCAAGGGTAGCCAACCGAATGAGATTCTACCTGGAGGACATGCATGTAACAAAAAGAATACGTATGAGCAGTAATTTTTTGCCTTTTATTAATTTGAGATGTATTAGCAAGAATTGGACTGTTACGAGAAGAATGGCTGTGGTTTGGGGTTGTTATGTGAAACAGAGATGTGAAGAATAGAGAAGCTCTAATTGAGGACAAAGCAGTCAAAAATAATGGAATTCCATTCACACTCTCGCTGGATCTGGCCATTCCGTCAGATGTTTTCATGCACACAACCTTAAGCAAAGCTCCATGCTGTGGTCATAAAATCTCTGTCACCTCTTCCAGGGCAGCGTTTCTCATCCCAGTCCACGGGGACCCTCAGACGGTCCACATTGTTGCTCCCTCCCAGTTCTGAGTCTAGGGTTTTGTTTGCACAAAGCAGCACCCATGACTCACAGTCACATAGCTTGGTTTGAGTCTGTCTAACCTGAAGGTTTTTTTCTATATGTTTGGGAAATATTGAGAAAAAAATCAATCAAACGTATAGAATAAAGGTGTGTGTGTGTGTGTATATATATATATATGTGTGTGTGTGTGTGTGTGTGTGTGTGTATTATTCCCTCTTGTTTATTGCACGCACCTGATGTAATTGATTTGTCAGACAAGAAACACTGATATTTGATTCATCAGAAAGTAGGGCAACTGCTTTAAGAAACAGATTTCGTTTGAAGTTTCACCACGTTAAATTAGCCTGAGAAATCTTGTTTCATTCAAAACCAGTAAAATGTTACATTATGTAACTGCGAGGCAATAGAAAGAGCAGATTAGCAAATTACCAATTTAAGATAATCCGTCTGAGAAAATGGTATTACATTCTGATTTTACATCAAATCAGAACAACACTGTAAATGCAGTCTTACAATCATTTCACTTATTATAACTTTCCTTCTTTAAAGACAGCATGGATGGGTTAGCAAATACATTTTGTCGCTTTTATGATATGGCCGTATCATTTTTCAATCAGTTGACTACACACAGCAATCTTTTATATCCAGAAGATAATTATTGGGTGACAATAAAGATAAACATCTTCTGAGGCATGAAGCATCAAGACAAGGTGTTGTATTTCCAGTTTTTGAATATTTTTTCCTTGGTCTGCTTAGGTGGAAGCAAAATCCCTTTCCAGATATACTTGAGACACTCAGCACTTTCCATTACCACTAACCCATCTCGTCAGTGCTGCGAATGAGCCATTGTGCAGATCGGTGCTGGAAGGTTCGCCGTCTAAAACCTGGAGGCCTTCTGGGTAAGCCTTTATCTGGTATGCAAACCAGAAAGTGGACATGGAGAAATTAGCATGTGAAGCTAATTTGCTTGGACACAAGGACCAGGTTACCAGCTTGATTTTGCACATTTGGCTGTGTTTGTGCCCATTTTCTGTTTCCTTTGTCCCTCTAAACAGTCGATAGTTTATGTCTGTCTGAGGATTAAAACCTGGCCCTGGTCCTATATGTGTGTGTATGTGTTTTCATGTTCACCTTGCAAACTTTGTGTGGGTTTCTTCTGAGTATCAGGGCCTGTCCTGCCCCAGTCCACAGTCTGTTATGTAAATGGTTCATACCGTCTGTGTGTGTACAGCAGGCCCATACCCAGAAATAAATTTCGTAACCCTACCACGGACAGGAGGGCGGGTCCCCCTGGGTAAGTTTTCACCAACAGGATGGGAGGGGCGAGTCCTCTCTTATTTCACTATTTGGCTATGTACCTGGTGTGTGTGTGTTTGTGTTATTTCACTATTTGGCTATGTACCTGGTGTACATGTGTGTGCGTGTGTGTGTGTCCGTGTCCTATGATGGACTGGTTGTCATGACCTGCTCGTCTGACCCTCCTGTGGGCCACGCCCCCTTGTTACCTCGTGTGGAATCCCGGTGTTCTCAGCTGTGTCTAGTTGTTGTTAATTGATTCTGTGCATTTAGTGCTTCCAAGTCTTACCCCTGTCCGGTCATTGACGTCTGTATGCGTTTCAGCTGTGTTTTGGTGTTTCCCAAAATAAAACCCTGTTTATCCGACTTGTCGTGTTCTGCTCCTGCTTCTCCATCCTGAATGTGACACTGGTAACCTATCCATGTAATGTGCCTTCCCTCTGTGTCCTGGGATAAGCAACAGACTCGGCATTACTCTGCACTGGATAATCCCTATGAAAGCTGGACCTATTCTGTAAGCAGTAATCATCATAATAAAGTAATTTAAAGCCTGATTTTAAATGCATTTTCCATTTAATTATTTCGCTTACGTTATTTGTGCCATAGTGTTTGCAAATAAAAAACAAATCAAGATGCTTTTTAACTAACAAGAAATCAGTGTCAACGCTGATTTAGTTTGACACATGAAAGTTCCTGTTTCTGGTTCTGTTTACGCCAGGGTGTAATGTCACCTGTTGTCAAGTTCACGTGATGATAACCTCTTTCATTTACCTCGGGACATGAAGTGTCACTACGGGGATGTCTATTCAGAAACTGCAATGTCTTCTTCAAAGGAAACTCAGTGGCAGTAAAACCCTCAAAACATCACATACGCAGGTATCAAGGGAACAGAAAAATAATTGAAATTTACATAAATGTCGACTTGAAATATCCTAGCGAGGTTATTTCAAAATGTAGCCATTAGCTTATTTAAATAAAATGCCCCAAGAAATACGTATCTACTACAAATGTATGGTACTGGAATAAAAGAAAGCACAGTACCCACTATATATAATTTTGATTAATATTTTTGTATCCCGTTTACACACTGAAGATTTATTTTTTTCTTTACTGTGCATTGCTCTTTTTCTCAGCTGTCAGATAGATTTTGAATTATTATTCTATATGTATACTGCTAATATATTTGTATCAGTAGCACATGATATTTTCTTAACATGTTGCCTTTTGATGCTGAGCATTGTATTAGGTTACTAAATGGGAAAAATGGACACTTTAGGAACCTGAGTTGTGGTTGTATATACTGCTTGACAGCGTTTAATTCCAGGACTGCTAGAGCATTCATGCCTGTTGTACATTTATTGTATCCCGTTTTGCTGCGTTTTGTTGTCTGTCACATTATTTTCTTGCTACTGCTC